GTATATAGTAATGTGCACAGATACACTGTCACCCTTCCACCACATTACCATAGAGTGATCTCTTATTTTGAGAATAAAAACATATAACTCCTATTTTGATACTTTTTTTATGTTTTAGTCCTATTTAGGATAATTTTTACATTTTTAATTCTTCTAATTATTACTTCTAAATTACCTTAAAAATTAAATGGAAAAGTACTAAAGTAGAAGTAAAATAATAAAAATATACCAAAATAGGAGTTTCATATTTTTATTCTCGAAACAACTATTAAAATGCATTTACATTACCAATCATGACTATGTACAATACCAAAAAGTGTAGTAAAATATTTATATAGAGTGTCACATTCTCACAGTGTGAGCTCCTATCTAGAGTGTACTGTGTATTGTGGAAATAGAAGTGAATGTCCTCTCCTCTCTCTGTCACAGATTATTTATAGAGTAGAGGAGGCTCAGCAGGTGCATATAAAAGCTGCTCAAAAGTGAGACCGGTCAAATTGTATGAAACCCGAAACTTAATTCATTCCTCAAAGTTTATAGGAAGTCCAAGATAGTGACCGGTCACCTAACACGGGGGTGACCAGTCATCCAGCACCTTCTCTAAAATAGCTTCCAACGTTCACCCTCGAAGACTTAAACCACGATCAGTCACCTAACTCCGGGGGTGACCGGTCATCCAACATCGTCCCCAAAACAGCTTTCAACGACCACCTTGAAGACCAAAACTGTGACCGGTTATCTTAGGCAGGGGGTGACTGGTCATGAAACACCGTCTCCAAAATAGCTGCCAAGCTGAGTCTGGAAAATCAAACTCGTGATCGGTCAACCGACCCTTACGGTTGACTGGTCACCTCGGTACCTGCGGGTGCCGCACCTGGGTATGTAATATACCACATCAACCCCAATAAAAAATTATTTGCCCCCAATAAAAACATTTTATATTTTTTAGTACAAAATTGAAATACTACGTATTAAACATTAAAATAATAGAATTTAAAAGTAAAGTATTTGAAATCATATAGTATAATACAATATGAAAATAAAAAATTACAAGAAAAAATAATTTTTAAAAACAAATCGACCCCAAATTGTATTACTATATTACCCCTAATTAAACAAGACTAAAACATAGAGAAAAATACTAAAATATGACTTTCATGTTTTTATTCCTGAAATAGGACTTTGCACTCAATGTGACACTATGCATGTGCATTTTAATATAGTTTTTGATATTGTGCATGACCATGTTTGATAATGTAAATGCATTTTAAATCCTATTTCAGGAATAAAAACATGGAAGTCCTATTTTAGTATATTTATAATGTTTTAGTTCTACTTTGATCATTCTCTCTTCCTTCCTTCCTTTTCCACCGTCGAGATTGATACCTTGAGTCCTTGACTTCATAAAATTAATAAGGAAAGTGCTAGAGGAACTCTACTTGGGATATAATAAGTGTACATACACCAATGCATAAATAAGTACACCCAGGCTATTAAGTATATGTGTGTGCTTATTTGTGCACAAGCTAGGAATACACTGTACCAAAATGTGTATCCCATTTATACACTAAAACAACACAGACAATAGAGATATATATTATGTATCGATGCACAAATATATAATGTCTGTATTACTCTGGTGTATAAATAGACTACACCATTTTGATATACCCTAACATGCCCCTCATAAACTACAAGGAATTGCTTTGAGTTGAAACAAGTGGTTGGAGTCTTTTCAATATGGAAGAAAATATTATGAGCCGCAAAAATGAGAATGTATGGGATGGGAGTATCAATATAATCCAAAAGTTTGTTACACTCCATACGTAAAGTTCAAATACTAAAATATTAGCCTCCATAGAAATACTTTGCGTATGTGATTCAGTCTAATTGTTTGGTACATTATACTCTCTTCCACCATAATTTTTTTTCTAGATTTTTTACGGTCTCCAATGTACTTCGTAATATTTTAACTACTAACATCTTTATTTATATATAAATATATACTATAAAGATATGATATTTTAAAATTATATTTTAGGCAAAATGAGCATTATCTAACTTATAACAATACATAACATATGAAATTATGAACTGGTTACTTTTTTACTCCGTCCAAATAAATTTTAATTTATTCACTTTCCTCTCTTTTTGGACGTAACGAAAAAAGTACTCTGGGATATTTCACTTTGCTTCTTTTTAATAATAAATATGTGGCTCGAGTTTGATTTCTGATAAATGTTTGGTGAGACCATTATACTAAGCATAAGATCTCTACAAGTACTAAGTCCAGGTTCTATTCGTTAACACTAATTTGTTATTAAAACCTAATTTATCTATATTCAAATAACAGTTGGGGCGGTTTTGAAAGACCCTTAAAGATGAGGATCATTTGTGTTTTTACAAATTGACTTCCACGTACTTTAAAAAGTGTATAATCCAAAATTTGTTTAAATAAAAGAAAAAATAGTATGAATTGAACCACATATTCATGGCTAGAATTGAAGATACGTACTTTAAAAAGTGTATAATCCAAAATTTGTTTAAATAAAAGAAAAAATAGTATGAATTGAACCACATATTCATGGCTAGAATTGAAGATAAAGTGAGTGTTTCTCTATGTTTATAAGCTAATCAAAATTACTACTCCCTCCATTTCTCAAAACGATTTCTGTTTTGACTTTGGAGAAAAATGAGGAAAGTGTAATTTTAGTTGACTTTTCAATTTTGCCCCTAATGTGATGTGTAAAGTAAGATGTAATAGTTTAGTTATAAGTGAAAAAGTATGATGTGATAGGTAAGGTATGAAAAAATAGGAGTAAAAGTGGGTTTTTGATAGAAAAGGAAGTGTTTTAACAAAAACAAAAAAATGAAAGAAGAAAGGTTTTAAGAAACGGAGGGAGTATTATTTTATTCATAAGTCATCTAATGACATATTTATTTATGCTTATAAGCTGACATATAAACAACTAGAAAAAAAGTGAGTCTTATTTACTTTAAGTCAGTTTTTTTGAAAGTCCATTTCGACCATATTATTTACTCTCTCCATCCCATTTTAAATCCATCAGTTTTGACTTTGGAGCATATTTAAGGAAAAGAAAAAATAAAGTTGACTTTCCGAAGTTGGCATTACTTCTTAGGAGGGATGTCGATGAATGAGAAGATAAGATGGAGAAGAGTGACTTATTCTAAGGGTAGTCTAGGTGTTTTAATTTTAAAAGTTTACGATAACAAGAAACATGCAACTTATTTTGGGACGAAGAAAAAAAGAAAAACATGCAATTTAAAATGGGACAGAGGGAGTACAAAATTTTTACCGACCATTTATGAATATTTCCTAAATAACTTGTCTATCATTTAAACCATTTTATTGCTATAAAAGAATTTTTAACTTACAAATACTTTATAAGTTAAAAACTGTTTATCAACAACAAATCAATCATCGTCACCATTACCCAAAAAACACCTCCAAAATAAGTGTACATTTTTTCAAAGAATTACTACGTACTAAAAATTTGAAAACCCAAAACAATCCAAACCAGAAATAGTGAAATACTATAAAAGCTCTATAGCGTAGGGTATGAAGTCAACAAAGGAAAGTCGGACAGATAATGCCGTAAGTTTCACTCTCAAAAGAAGTGACATTTTTATCTTTATTTCTTTCTTTCCTTGTGATTGAACCTTGAGGATTTGATTTTGATCCTGGTGGGGAAAGGCAAGTGGGAACCAGCAGATCAATCCCACCTGGAAAAAGTGACATTTCCTCCTCTCATTTGCCTTCTGGTGAGTATGTTTGTTTGTGTGTCAAACCACACATTCCCACTGGTCAGCAAATAAAAACCAAAGAATTGTATTTTTTTTTTTTAATTTAAAGAAAAAACCAGACCAGTGTTTCTGGGTAATTGATGGTTATGGCTGGGCAGAGAGAGGAAGATGACTATGACTACCTGTTCAAGGTGGTGCTGATAGGGGATTCCGGCGTAGGGAAGTCCAACTTGCTGTCAAGATTTGCCCGGAACGAGTTCAACATGGAGTCCAAATCCACCATCGGTGTCGAATTCGCCACCAAAAGCTTGGATGTTGACAGCAAAGTCGTCAAGGCTCAAATCTGGGACACTGCTGGCCAAGAAAGGTACCATTTTTATTGCCTTCTTCATTCTGTTCTGCTCTGGGTGTTCATGGTTCTCCATCTTTTGCCATGGAATTGTGTTCTTTTTGTTCTTTGTGACAATGGGTTGTTCCAAGAATGTAAAAAAATTCCATTACTGCCCCCATCATCACTTTGTTTCCCAGGTACAGAGCTATCACCAGTGCATACTACAGAGGTGCACTGGGAGCTTTGCTGGTATATGACGTCACAAGACAGCCGACTTTTGAAAGCGTGGGACGGTGGCTGAGAGAACTGAGAGATCACACAGATCCCAATGCAGTTGTCATGCTCGTAGGCAACAAGTCCGACCTTGGACACCTGCAAGCTGTTTCACATGAGGACGCAAAGTCTTTAGCAGAGAAAGAGTCCCTCTATTTCATGGAAACTTCAGCCCTTGAATCCACCAATGTCAGTGAGGCATTCACCCAGGTTATTACTCAGGTCTACAACGCTACACATAAGAAATCCATTGAAAATGGCGAACTCGAAACCTCTTCCTCTTCTTCTTTGGTTGTTCCCTCCCATGGTGTAAAGATTGATGTTTCTAAAGATGAACCTGATGATGTAAAGAGAAGAGGCTGTTGCAGAACTGCTTAGAGCGTTCAAAGCTGCTGCATTACACATCAGAAGTAATCTCAGGCATGACTATATTCAGTGAAGGCCTGACCTTTCCCTATCTCCCCTTCCTTCTTTTAATTATACTCCTATATTTTTTAATTATTTGAAACCAAGAACACATTATTTAGCTCTTATTGAATTTTTTAACTCTAGAAATTATTGTGTTTATCATGGAATACAACCATTTCTAGTAGAATTAACGGATTCGAAAGAAATGTAGAAATATATGCAACTCAAGTGTTAGAATTCATTGCTTGACAAGAATGTGTGTGTTGTGAGCGCGCTTAAAATAAGATAGAAAAAATCACAGCAGGGGATGAAGAAGTTCTTTCCAACTAGTGGCAGAAACAGCATTTCCATTTCCAATCATTGCATCAAAACATCTCAGCCCTTCATCCAGTCTTCCACAATCACACAATCCTCTAATGACCATAGAATACAATGTCGGTTTCACGGACATCTTTCTGCTAACCATTTCATTCACTAAGCCGAGTGCCTTCGAAACATCACCTTGGACACAATAACCATTGATCATTGTCTTATAATGATTAGACACATCATAAACCACAAAACTGGAGCCACACTGCAATCCATAAAACAATCTCTCCGCCTCATCGACCCTTCCTTCTTTCCAATAACTTTCAAGAATGTGATTAAGTGAAGTAGAAAAGTAGGTTGTCATCTTACTGCCTCTATTGATATCCCTTAAAAGCTCTAAAGCTTCATCGACTCTACCATCACCACACAACCCCTTTATCACATACCGACTCATATCTTCCCTCGTTATTGTTCTTTTTTTCTTACTCTCCACTTCAAAGAACTTCAAAGCATCTTCTGCTCTCCCTGCCAGAAAAAGAGCTGTGATGAAGGAGCCATAAACGCAAACTTCAATCACGTTTCTTTTCTTCATCATTTCTTTCAGTAGATTCTCTGCCTCATTTATCCTTCCTGCACTGCACAAGGATCTGAAATAAGCTTCATATGCCATAATCTCCGGAACCTCACAACTCATTTGGAATATAGCCCTCCTCCCTCCCTTAACAACCTTTTTGGACACCTCCAAACCACCATTATCGTTTTTTATCAGTTTGCAGAAGAGTTTCTTCGCCTCTCTCAATTTATCGGATTTACACAGCGCGTGTAGGAAGTTTCCGTAAATGCATATATCGAAAAGAAAATTACTTTCCCACAATTTTCTCAAAATATTGTCAGCTTCAATAACAGCCCCATTTCTACAAAAGCACTGAAATATCACAAAATAGCTCAAATCATCCACTGGAATCCCTCTGTTAAGCATTTCAACACAAACCGCTTCAGCTAAACCACACTCATTCACATTGCACAAAGCCCCAATCAAGGAAACAAGACTTTGCCTTTCCCAAACTACCCTCCCACTCCCACCCATCAAAACCCTACGACAAACTCTCTTAACTTCATCTGCACTGCCATATTTGCTGACATGCATCACATAATCAGAAGCACAAATTCTGATCCCCGGCCCACAAATCTCGGCCCACACCATCTCCACAGCATCAAAGTTCCCATCTTTGACTAAAAAATCAAGCACTAAGCCATATGAGAAGTGATCAGAAACCTGCCCTTGGCGTTTGAGATTGAGGACAAGAGCCTTCGCCCGCTGGAGTTTCTTGATTTGTGATAGAAAATCAATGGAGATGACTGAAATTGCCGGGGTGAAGATGTGGGTCTGGGCCAAGAAGGAGTCCAGGGCGGTTAGGGCTTTGTAGTTCCTAGGGTTCTTCGAAAGGGAATCGATTAGGCCGCGGAAGGACTCCAGGTAGCGAAGTGTGTCCGGTGCGCTGCTTGCGACGGCGGCGTGCAGCCTTCTGCGGTGGGGCGGCGGCGGTGGAGAGAGAATAGCAGAGAAGAATCGAGGATGAATGCGTGAGAAGGTGAAGAGTGGAGAAGGTTTCATGAATGCAAGTGTATAGCCATCCCTGGTTTGGAAGTTGAGATGATAATGGAACGAAATCAAAATCCGTATGATATCCAAATTGGGGTGAATCGCCCTTTCCTTTCGGTGGGCTAAAATGAGAGCCCAATATCCAATATTAAAATTTTACCGAGTACTCTTTCTTTTTCCTCAAAAACTCATGTAGCATCCTCGAACTCCCGATCGTACGCCAAATGATTGAGGCCATGTTTGACATCAGCATTAGAAATTAGTGTTAGCATTTTGAAAAGGCTATTCGAGGGTAGTCTTTAGCGTTAGTTTTTCCAAAATTAATCTACACCATTAAAATTTTATCCAAAACGCTAACGCTAATTGAAAACGTTGTTTTCAAACATGATCTTAATTATTAAATTACTTTTACTATTAGAAAAATTATCTCACTTTAAAAAGTCTTCTAAAATAATTTTATTTCTCGTTGTGATGCATAACAAGATAATAAGCTGAGAGCTTCTATGGTGCACCTTAGGTGCATGTTATTTTTGTGAAACTTCTCATATAAATAATCTTTTTTTAAATTTTTTTATTAAAAAAATAGATGCTAATTTAAGTAGTCAGACTCCGTTCCGTTCAACTTATTTTTTTCTGATTTGATCTGATTTTAAGTAGTAAAGCTATTAGAAAACACTTATTTTGCTAATATGTAAGTCCCTGGTGGACCTTAGGTCCACTATAGAACTTGCCTAATAATAAGTTCAGCTTTATTTGTGTTCACGTTTTAGACCATTATTAAGAACCTAACTTCCACATAACGTATTTGAAAAAAAATGTTTTATTTCGTGCAACAATTGAAGGTGAGATTATTTGAACTAAATTTTTATTTTTAAATTTGGAAATCTAAATTAAATTTTTAAAATGATGTTCTAACTCCACCATTGTTTTTTTTGGAGTAGTCTTGCTTTAGAAAAATGTCAAAGTAAAAAATAAGAAATAAAAACATTTTAAGAAAAAAATCAAAAAATACAAGAAAAATCTCATCATCCCAACGGCTATATTGACGTTACAATTTTAAAAACTATATATATATATATATATATATATATATATATATGTATGTATGTATGTATGTATGTATGTATGTATGTATGTATGTATGTATGTATGTATGTATGTATGTATGTATGTGGAGGTGGATCTTCATTGTAATCCAACGAACATAATTATTAATCAAATTGTTCATGTTATCAAAGTCAACCCTAGCCTAGTGTCTCAACTCCCTCCTTCCCGATCAGCCCCTCTCCTTGCGGCAATCATCTCTCTCGGTTGCCCCTATGTCTCCCACCGAAGAATTAATCACTTCATTTAGTCCAAATCCGCCTCACCTTGCTTTTACAAAGGTGTCTAGCCTCAAACTTCAAGTTCCAATTCAACTAAGTTTTTTCGGAACCCAACAATAGAATACTGAGTCATCTCTTTCTTCTTTTTATTAAGTGTTTCAATCTTGAAGGCTATCTCACCGGCTCCACTACTCCCTCTAGCGCGGATGACATTGAATGGCTTTAACTTGATGCTGTCATTCGGCTCCACCATCACAGATGAAGTCTCGGATCTAGTTCTCTCCTCTGCCATCACGGTAGCCAACCTTTGGCAAATCATTCATGATCTATTTGATGATAATAAAGCTGCTCGTGCCATGCAACTAGAGAACAAATTTTACAACACTCTCAAAGGCACCACATTGATCAACACTTAATGTCAAACTCTCAAGAACATCACCAATTGGTTGGATGGTGCTGATGCTCAGTCACTAAAAATTAGCTCACTTTACAAGCTCTTTGTGGACTAGCTGAGGATCTTGACTATCAAGTTTCATTTCTTTAGTTTTAAAAGTCGATGCCTACATTCATGAAGCATCAGTGCCGCCCCTCGCCTAACAGTGGTGAGGGGTCCACTCTCCTTGTTACAACATCGTGACACGGGCCCATACTTCAGTTAGATGGGAAGAATGCAATTCATCATGGCAACTTACGGGAAACCATTTATGATAGTTAGTCATATGGATTTCAGGATCCCTCTCATTCCCATTATGTAGAAAAACTCAAGAAAGCCTTATATGGGCTAAAGTTGTCACCTTGCTCTTGGTTTTAGAGGTTTGAAATGTTGGTATTTCACAGATGTAAGAATAACAAATCTCTCTTTGTGTAAATTCATGGGACAGACATGGCCTACTTACTTCTTTATGTGGATGATATTGTATTCACTGCTTCGTCTACCTCTCTCTTGTCCAAGATTAAACATTGTTTCAATGAAGTATTTGCCATGACTGATATGGGGGAACTTAACTCCTTTCTTGGTATCAATGTCCAACGCATCAGAGCTGGTTAATTTCTTCATCGAACACAGTTTACCCATGAGCAAACTGGGATGCTCATGTGCAAGCCTATCACCATGCTAGTTGATACCAAGGCCAGGTTGGCCGCTTTGTTGGGTTCTCCTATCGCCGACCCCTCTCTCTATTCCTATATTGTTAGTGCACTCCAATATCTCACCTTTACCCAGTCGAACCTCACCTATACAATAAAACAACTTTGCTTTCATCTCCACAATCATCAGAACACTCATCTTACAACATTGAAGTGGGTCCTCTAGTACTTACATAATACGTGACTCATGACATTACTATTTCTCGCTCCACTACTGATTCCTTACAGGCATATTCTGATGCGGATTATGCCGACTATCCTGATACTCGCCAATCAACCTCTTGATATTACGTCTTTCTTGGTGATAATCTTTACTTCTGGTCATATAAAAGGCAAGCCACTGCTTCTTGCTTCAGTACCAATATTGAATATCGTGCTCTTGCCAATGCAGTTGCACAAACTAGCTGGATATAAAATCTTCTTCTTGAGCTACACCTACCTCTACGTTGTGCCACTCTTTTCTTTTGAGATAATATCAAAGCCGTCTACTTATCATCTAACCATGTTTAGCATCAATGCACAAAGCACATTGAGGTTGACATTCACTTCGTCCAAGATTAAGTAGCCCCTGGACATGTCTGTGTTCTTCATGTCCCCTCTTCCTCTCAATATGCTAACATTTTCATTAAGGGGCTCCATCACTTCTCTTCACAAATTTTTAGGACAACTTTAGAGTTTGCCCCCGTTGCCAATATAGTCGAAAGCATGTTAAATATTGTTATATTTAATTTTATAATGTATGGTATGTCTTTTGTATATGATTCTTATAAATTACTCCTGCCATTATTAAATCTCTCATTTTGTATGTATAGGAAGGTGGATCTTCATTGTAGTTCATCGAATATAATTACTAATCACATTCTTAAAATATCTCCTTCATTTTATAAAAAGAAAAAGAAAGCAGGAAAATAGTAAAAAGGAAATATAAAAAAACTTAACGAAGAAAACATTCTTTTTCGGATTGGGCAAAGGTGAAGTACTTTTAATGCATAGGGGAAAAAAAGAAAAAGAGTGCTGATTAAAAAAAGAGGACTTTGCTAAAATGACATTCACTAGAGGGTGGGATAGATGGGTAGGACGTGTGTTTTACGAAGGAGAATCCATCCGCCTATCCTGGACGGGATCCTTTGTCCCCAAACAGTGTCCCCACTTATAGTTTCACCAACCAAAATTTTGACACTTAATTCACCTCATCTCTTATGTTATACGGATTTCAAGAATAACAATATAAACACGAAAAATATGACAACAGATTTACGTGGTTCATCGATAAATTGGCTACATCCATGAGGGAGAGGAGGAGCAATTTTATTATGGAAAGGTAAGAACAGAATACAGTTTAGTATTTGTGATAACACACACACACACACATATAACAACAAACTTGGGTCCAAAATACAGAATTAACAGATAATTAATAGCCCAATACAAGGCACTACAACACCTTATTGAATACAAACTAACCTTATGAGTTGGATAGGGAAACATATTTACATAGGTCTCAATTTTATTTGGCGAGATAGAGAATTGAAACACCATTTGGAGATAGAGGATCCCGACTCCTTTTGGGTGGGGTGTGTTAGGTGTCAAATTTTCTTTTACCTATGGGTAATTTTTCTTTGGGCTAGTGCCGGTGGTGGACTTGGTGCGCTTTCTTGGCGACTGGAGGAAAAGAAATTTTTTTAGATATTCCATAGAATCTTTCCCGAAATTTATGAATCATGTTTTATGTTTGATGGAAAGCATCCTCAGCATTTTCAAAAGAAATGGTTGAAAAACTAGAGCCCATGATAATGAGGTTTCAAGGGCTATGTCTTTCATATTTTTTCTAAATTTGCACTGCCAACTAATGGAAAATGGAAAATGGAAAGATTTGTTGATAAACGTTCATCAACAAACCATCTACAATATACATCTCTTTAAGAAAACACAATACAAATAATATATTCAATATTAGATTTACCATAGAAGTACACTCTTATTTAGTTATTTTTATCAAATTTTTCCCCTTCCCTTTAGAATGATTTGAGCACTCATTTTTTTGTATTACTAATTTTATTTAAATTAATGCGATGAAAAGAATTATTGAATTTTTAATATTCTTAGTCATAGTCATAAGATCGTTAATCCAAGATTTTATTTGTTAATAATGGAGGAGAAAAGAATTAACTTTTGTAATTAATACTACAAGATCATTTTTCGCTAATCTTAATTAAAGCAGGGGAATCAATTTTTTAATCGTAGAATTCTAAGATAGATAATTCCGGATTCATTAAATTAATACGGAGGAAAAAAGTCATAGGATCAATATTGTGTTTTATATTAATATTTTTTAAATTTATATCGAGAGAAGAATATATATATATATATATAGACACACACACACACAAAACCTAGATCGTTTATATTTGACGTTTAAATGATTATACCCATATCAATCGAAAATAGTTTTATTCCATCCGTGCATAACACAAGTTTAAATATTACGGAGTACTACATAGTTCAAAAAAGATAAGTTGTGCTTCCTCCGTCCCTAAATGTTTACCACATTTTAAAAAATGAGGTAAAGTATCAATTTTTTCAATTTTTTATTTAAATATTGATATAGAAATAAAAAATAAAATTTACATATTTAAAACCTACATGAAAAATTATTCAAAATAAGAGATGTCAATAATATTTTATTTTATCAAATAATCAATGAAAAAATGTTCTGGGATGATTAAAAAAGAAAATATGACAAATATTTTGGGACGGAGGTAGCATAATAGTCAATCATTGCACTAAAACCTTTTGAAATCCAAAAAAAAAAAGAATTACTTTACAGAGATTGCTCAACCCCTTTTTGACCATACCAATGGAGGGACTAGAGAGTGTGATAGATTATACTTTTTCTATCACAAAAAGATATTACTGACTTTTTAATTAAATTGTACTCCCTCCGTCCTATAAAGTGTTACCCATTTTGACTAAAGTTGAAATTAAGGGAGGGATAATTTTGTGTTGACTTTCCAAAAATACCCTTGATGTGATGGGTAAAAGTAGGATGTAATGTGTAGATTATTAGAAAAAAGGTATGATGTGATAGGTAGGGTTTGAAAAAGTAAGGGGTAAAAGTGGTTTTTTAATAGAAATGGGTAAGAGATTGTGGGACACAATTTTTTTGAAAAGTGTAAATCTTTTTGGGACGGAGGGAGTATTACATTTTAACCACACATTAAGAAAGAATTTATTTAGTTATAATTTAAATTTTGTAAAATTAAATTCATTTAAAACATAGTTTTGATTATCAAATCTTGATAAATTTATTTATTTAAAATTATATTTATTCTATAGTCAAAGTATTGCACAGTTTGACAAAAAAAAAACCCTAAGGTTCTTTTTGGGACGGAGAGTATAATTTTTCTCTGCTCCAAAGAAATTTTTTATTTTTCTTTTTTGTTCATTCTAAAATAAACTTCTAATTTTCGTTAGGAATAGAGTGAGTGATCCACAATAATTCTTTCCTTTACATTAACAAATGATTTTAAATTAGAATAAAATGTCATCAAAATATAAAAAAAGAGTCATTGATTTTATCTCTAAAAATAATTTGACACTGTGATAACAATATAATAGTACGTGAGAATGATAGTGTTGGTGGCTAATTATTAATTACATTTTCTTATTTTTACGGAGAACCATCGGTTCTGAAACTGCAAACCAGTAGTGGGAAAACTAGAACTAGCCCAAACCGGCTTTTTCCCCTTCTAAACGGGCTTCCCCGTATATATAAAAGCGAAGCAGGATACAAAAATTTAACATTGAGATTAATCTTGGGAATCCTACGGTTAAAATACTAAGCAGAGGAAGAATATCTGTTGCGGGGCCTTCTAAGAACGGTGGTAAACATCGAAATTTATTTTAAACTTTTAGTTATTCCTGTATATCTCTGTTGCTGTTTTGTTAAATTTCGTTTCGTGAAACCCTAATTGATTACTTGATTATAGATTAATTTCATCTGGCGCGCGATGCTTGAACTAAATGTTTATTGATTGAATATGTGTTCCATGGAGTATTTGGGATTCAATTTAATATTCTAGGGTTTTCTTACTGCGTAGTTATTTGATTTTAGGTGTGTTAAATTATATGTTTGATTTGTTTATAGTTTGGCCTGATGCATTCCATTCGGTTCCCTTGTAGTTAAATCAGTGATCAACTGAATTTATTCATTCATCATCAAGTTCTGCACAATTTTCTTTCTTGTAGTCAGCTTGTAGAGGTTGAAAAACAGTTTGAGTTTTGTTCCTATTTTTTGAATTGATTTTATGAAATTTTTCATTTTATTTTTAAACCTTACTTCAAACCAATTGTTGCATTTTCTTTAATGAAATTTTTTACTCCTGCGTCTTATTTTTAATTGTTTCGTGTAGGGCTGTACTCCCTACGTTTAACTATTTTTGTCGATTTTTAACTTTTTTTGCATGTCCCATTATTTTTGTCTTATATCATACTCCCTCCGTTTCTTAAAACCCTCCCTTTTTTATTTTTTTGTTTTTCTTAAAACACTTCCCCTTTCTATTAAAAAACCACTTTTACCCTTACTTTTTCATACCCTACCTATCACATCATACTTTTTCACTAACAACTAAACTATCACATCTTATTTTACCCATCACATCAAGGGCAAAATTAGAAAGTCAACTATAATTTAACACTTCCTTATTTTTCCCCAAAGTCAAAAGAGGAACTCTTTTGAGAAACGGAGGTAGTATTTAGTAACTTTTGTGTGGCTTTAGTAACTTGTGTGGCTCGCGCTTGTTCTTATTTGTTCATTTTGACTTCAATGGGATAGAGGGAGTATGTGTTAGAATTTGGAATTTGTGTTTGGGTTGACTTTAAGTCTATACTTTATGATTTTGTATAACGCTTCGGATTAGTAGTTGTTCACATGATTTTTAATTTTAATAGAAGAATCTGATCCCTTAATTGATCACTGTTTGAACTTTGAAAAATTAATTTTATCTTGTTTATTAGCATTTCAACATCTTAACCCTGATTATGCCTAGATATATGTCATGTTAAGAGAATGATGTTAAAAACTTGTATATGAGATTCTCACGTTTTTTTTTTGCAAAAAAAACCCTTGGTGTAATTTTGAATTGGTGTTCCCGTGTGTTAGAAAAATAGATGATAGCCCATCTAGATTTCAAAAAATTAGTACCCTTGCATCATGGATGTCTTTTGAGAGGTATAAATTGATACAGTTTGTAGAATTTGTGCTATTAGTGGCTTCAAGAAAAATAAAAGGGCATGGTTTTGTTGTTACTGATATTGCTCTGTTCGAAAATGATAATTCCTACCCCATAAACCCCTAACCCCCTCCCCAGCCACCTCCCTTTAATCACCTATTAGGTAGGGCCTAATCACGGTATTTGACTAATCTTTTTCAGTCCTTCGTCTTAGGTGAGTTCGGTTGAGTTCATTTATTTTTTGGTGGGTATAACGGCCAACAGTCAAGCAACACAATCTCAGGTGAGTCAGATATTTCTTCTAAGTTATAATAATCTTCTAAAGATTGAAGAAACGACTTTTGACCTTCGAACTCTCCTGGTCTACAGTTTAGACCATACGAGGCTTCAAGCCATTCAAGGCTTCAACTTCCAGTCATTTCAAGTTTCAACTTCAACCTAGAAAGCTTCATTTGGTCGACTCCTCCCCCCAAAAAAACATCAACCTTATCTATCACAATATTTTAAGATTTCAAAGCACATACCAAATTCTCCATTTTGGTATTTGATTCTTAAATCTTAAGGTTAATTCTAAATCTGTGTTTAAGAATAAGAACCCGTTTGAGTTTGTCCAATCTAAAAACCTAAATTTTCAACAGTTGTATAGTTGTATTTCTAATTTTTTAACCCTTAAGTTGTATCTTGTATATGGGTAAATTGAGTTTTGCATTTTCTAAGTTTTACAAGTGTGTTTCTCCCTTACTTTGGTTGCATTTTGTGTTTGAATTTTTTCAATCTAAAAATCTAAATTTTCTTAGTACTAATTATGCTCAAGTTATAGTTGCATGACATATTTTGTTTGAACTGTGAACTATTAAGTATGAACTTTGGAACTTTTCTAATTTGGTTGATGATTTAAACAAAGTTTCCTACCTGGTCTTGATCTTGGTTGTTTTTCGCTTCTTCTTATGGTGTATTATTTTTTACTTTATTATCTTGTTTTACGAGCGTATGCTTTGGTGGCTATTGGAGTCATAGGTTTTTAACTTCAAAGTTTTTTTTTTGAAAACCACTTCAAAGTTGATAATGTCATTTTTGTGAAAATAATCAAATTCTATGTGCATATTAACAGCCACAAATTTGAAAGTTATAACGTATAAAACACAAACATAGCCGTACCCATCTTCCCAATGTATGAAATGCATAAATGACCATGTGTTATACACGAAGATATGAATGACCGTATTATACCCATATATGAATAAGCTAATAGAGCTTGGCCAAATAGCTCCAGTGCCCCCCGTAGTTTGAAAAATTGGCATCAATATCCTATTTATTTTCAAAACTTATTTTTGAAGTCCCTATGGTTTCAAAACATTGCATCTATACTCTCTCTAATCATTTTCCGGCAATTTTTCCGATGAAGAGGGGGTGGGTGGTGCCTATTTTTCAAACCATAGGACGCACATGTGTTCATTTCTAATTTTTCGTTTATTTTTTGTTTTCCCCCTTTTTTGCTTTATTTGTTTATTTTATTAATCAAGATTTTAAATTTCTTTCTAATTTTTTTATAATGCTCTTAAAATTCAAAAAAAAATTTTGTTTCAAAAAAAGATAACATATACTGTATTTGTACGTCTGAAATTAACAATTTTTATTTTTTTTGTTTTCTGAAATAAAAAAGTAAAAACTTTTTTTGAGAACTTCAAAATATAAGGAATAAAATATGAAATAACATTAAAAAATAAAAATGAATATCCGTTTTGGACATCCCAATTCTACAGATTTTTTTATTTTTAGGCTTTCTGAATTTTTTTTGTATAAGACTTTTTTTTGCATGTTTCGATTTTTTTTTCATTTTGTTTTTCCATATTTTTAATTTTTATTCTGGACTTTCTTTTTGAACTTACAAAAAAATTATTCTAGAAAACAAAAAATGAAAATACTTAATTTGAGATAGATAGAGGTTATGCTATTTTTTATTTTTATTTCAAACACAAAGAATTTGGAATTTTTTAAAACATTATAAAAAATTAAAAAGATAATAAAAAATTATAGGAAAAGGAAACAAATAGTTAAAAAATAGATTAAAAAAGGAAAATAAAAATCAAACAATAAACGAAAAATAAAAAATGAGCATGGGTGCCCCCTATGGTTTAGAAAACATGCACCAACGCCCTCTCTTTGCCGGAAAATGATCATGTAGGTGCGACGTTTTGAAATCACAGGTAGGGGGTAAACAGATATTAATCGGATTGAATGTGCCATTACCAAATCCGTATCCGTTTATTTTTGTCGGATATCGAATTCGGATACGGATCTTGATGGATACTGAAAATCAAAACCGTATCTGCATCCATCAGATATCGGTCGGATATCGGATATATCCGTATCCGTTTCCAATTTTTATAATCAAATTAAACAATATTTTAATTTTAAATTAGATTAAAGTTAAACTTTATTAAATCAACTATAATTTGATATGGGGTAATTATTTTCTTTGTTTTCATGATTTATGATATTCTACGATAACTTCATATGATAAAAAGATATACACAACACACATATACACATACTTTTATATGTCTGTATATATTTTATGTGTCTACACATTTATTTTGTATATAAAAATGTCTTATATTTTGAAATATCAATAGAGAAACAAATTATAAACATAAAAAATTAGGAAAAACTATATATAACGGATCAGATATTTGGATAAACGATTATTTAAACGGATGCATATTCGGATCGGATTTTAAACGGATCAGATATACAATTACCAAATCCGTATCCGTTTAGTAATCGGATATCCTTAATGGGATACGGATAATATCCGTTTAAAACGGATGCGGATATTTCCTCTTTAAACGAATACGGATGCGGACGGTAATCGGATTGTCGGCTATCCATTTACAGCCCTAATCACAGGGACTTTAAAAATAAGTTTTGAAAACACATGGAATATTGGTCAGGCCCGACCCAATGGGGGGACCGACAGTCCGTCCGGGCCGGGCCTAAAAACTTAAGGGGCCCAATTTGTGTTTTAATATTATATATATATATATATATATATATATATATATATATATATATATATATATATATATATATATATATATATATAAAATGCATAAGAAGCCCAGCCCAAATGATCCTCTTCTCTTGGTTACTGGACTACTGGAGAGACACACTAAAGAACCGAAAGGCAGGGACTGAGGCACACGACGGAACTGACGGAAGAACCGACGAACTGATGAAGACAGGACTCAGATACGCCGCCGCCGCCGCCAGACGCACCGCCGGACGCCGACCATCAAGCTCCAGCCTCCAGGTATTCCGTGTTTCCTTAATTATTTCTTAATTTTCTTTCGTTGTTTCATTCTTTAGATTTAAAATTCAGGGTTAATTATAAATTTTTAATTTAAAAAGTCTTTTTAATTGCTATGAAATAGAGTGAATTAATGGTTCTATATGTTATTTGGATGAATTGATTTAAATTTATTATATATCTGTATATACAAAACTGAAAATTTAAAAAATATTAAAAATAGAAAAATTGATGATTTGATATGAATTTATGATATACGTAGTATATAAAAAAATAAAACTGAAAAAGAAAAAAAATTGACGAATTGATATGAATTTATGATATTGTGTTAATTGTAATTTAAATATAATTAGTTTACATATGTTAATTTGTTAGATCATTAAGGATAAAAATTTTAGTACTTTTTTTTCTGTTTCGGCCCACGCCGATGAATCCTCAGGACCGTCCCTGATATTGGTGCCAATTTTCAAACCACGGGAGGTACTGGAGCTATTTGGTCAATATAGCTTGGATAAATTAGTGGTTCTTTTGTTTACTCTGATTTTTCACGCTTGGTTATCTGATCCTTCTTTTTTAAATTCAATTCTGTTTTGTAGGGATTTGAGATGCTTCCAAATGCTATAGCAATATATGCCCTTATTTGCCGGTCCTGAAGATTAGAGTTTTGAGAGATTTTACTTCCCAATTCATAGTTATAGATCTAAGTTGAACATGGAAGGACACCGTACCTGCAAGAATTGTGGATCCAATTCCATTTATTCAGAGATTAGCACAGGCGATGTGGTTTGCAGATCATGTGATGTTGTTCAAGACTTTGACAATTTCCAGGCCCATATTGGAGGCATCAATGGGCCTGTTGGCACCTATGTTCATGTCGGTACCACGGGTACTGGAAATTGGTATAGTTATAGAGAGACAAAGATTTACGAAGCGAAGAAGGTGATTGATGATTTGATGTACAAGTTTGGAATTACAGAAAAGAAAGCAGATGATGTTAGCATTATGATTAGGACAATCACGGAGGACGAATACGGTCAAGGGAGGTGGTTTTCTGTGCTAATCGGCGCTTGCTCTTACATTGTCATGAGGATGGATTCAAAGGTCTTGCCGATGGAAGAGGCCGCGAATACGGTAGGGTGTGATGTTTTCGAAATGGGTAGAATGGTCAACCGCGTTGTCGACTTTCTCGATCTGGAATTGCCAGAGCTGAGCATTGTCAACTGGTTCGAAAAGGCAATCAGAAACAGTTCGAGGTTAAGGGATGTTTCCGAGGATACAATCTCGAGGATGTTGAAACAAGGGACACTTCTGCTTCAGTGTTTGGTCAACTGGTTCGTGACAACGGGCAGGAGGCCAATGCCCGTTGTTGCAGCCGTGCTTGTGTTCGTCGCAGAGCTGAATGGAATCACAGTTCGGCTTGGTGATGTGGCAAATGAGTTACACGTGGCGCTCAAGACTTGTAAGTTGAGGCATAAAGAACTTCTTGAGAGGCTTGTTCAGGTTGCCCAAGCCACATTGCCATGGGGAAAGGATGTTAACATGAAGAACATAATGACAAATGCTTCATCCGTGATTCAATATATCGAGTTGAAGTCAATGTCAAACCAGAATGGAAAATGTGGAGAGAATTGTGATTTGAGTTTCTTGGTTGATGACTGCCTAACCGAGGAAAATTCGTACTGGTATGACGAACATGAACCCGAGAAAGATTCCCAGTATTTCCAAGCTAAAAAAGTTGACATTCCTGAAAGATTCCCACTTTCTGCAGAATCGTTCTCCAGGATTTATTCAGAGGCGAAGAATGCGATGTCTGTGGCTAAGGCAGGCCCCAACGCGAGTACACGGAGAAGGACGAGAGAGGAATACGACAGTACGGGCTGGTGGAGCGGCGAATCGGACCTGAGTAAAGAGCTTCTTCTGAAGCAAATATTGGAAAAGAACTTGGGGATAAATGCCATGCCTCCTTCATTTGACAATGGCTGTTTGGTGACTGAGAGGAGAAGAGCAAAGATAAACGCGGCTAAGCTGAGGATTCATCAGACTATGTGTGGTCGTCCTTCGGCTTCTGGGGATGAAAACACCACTTATGATCGCATTATGATTGGTAAAGAAGAAGTAAAGAAGAAGAAAAGAAAGAGGAAAGGGGGATTTTGTTTGGACTGGGAAGATTTCATCATTGAAACTCTTCTCCTTCATAAGGTTAGAGAAGAAGAGATTGAGAAGGGGCATTATAAGGCTTTGCTGGGCTTGCATGTTTTCAATGGCGGCTGTGCATGTTGACACAGGTTTTTAAATTGAAACATGCGATAATTAGGCAAAGCATACCCATATTTCTGGATTGCAGTCATTTAAAATTTGAACTTTACAGGCATTGTTTTGTTTAATTGATCATTATGACTTTTGTAATACATAATGAATTATAATACAATTATATGTGAATAGATGAAGTTTTACTTGTTCTCAATCTCTTATGCATTTAAGCCATTTCATACTTTTCTTTGATCATATTTGACTTTTCTTGATCAAACTTCTACTATAAAATGTAGAAACATTGTAGTGAGTTATGATACAATTTTATATCATTTTGAAATTCAGTTTTAAAATACTTTTCCTATTTTTGTAAGAAATATTTATTTTTAAGTATAGATATTAATAGTGACGGTGTTGTATTCTTGTATTGGATACTTTGAATTTTTAAATAAGAAGAAAAATATAGGATGAAAGGGTATATTTGTTTCTTTTTTGTGGATGCGAAAATATTCTATTCCTGTTAGTCTATTACATCAGAATTGATTTTCCATCATGTTCGATGGAGTCATAGATTCACTATTCTTTGGCTCTGGAGTATCCTTCTATTTACAACAGCAGCAGGAAAAATATCCCGCTCAAATGCTGTGGCAACTGTCCAACCACAATGTCTAGATTCACGATCTCTCCACTGTGGCAACCGTCCACCCACTGTCTCTATCCACGGTCTCTAGAGTCTACTGCAATCTCTCCACCAATTTCCTCTCTATGCAAATCAGAATTTCTTCCGATCCTCATCGTGGTTCCGGCAATCAATTTTGTTCTCACCTGTGCAAATCAGAATTTGTTTTGATCTTCATCGTGGCTAGATTCCGGCAATTAATTCTGTTCTCTCCGCTAATTCACGCGCACTCTCTGCCGCACAATGCACAACAAATTTTTTTCTTCTGATCCTCATCATAGCTAGATTCTGGCATTCATGAATAAGGGACCATCGACGTAGAGTTGCAGTTTACCGAGGACGCAGGCTTCTGCTAGATGCCTTTGGTGGGGAACAAATATATTGATTCCAATTAATGGAGGTTTCCTTTGGTGGGGAACAAATATATTGATTCCAATTAATGGAGGTTTTCATCATCTTCTTCTTCCTTATTTACAACCTTTACTTTTATACTTTTAATTTTGTTTAGGTTATTGAAATTGGTTGTGCTCACCCATGGACTTCACAGCTAGGTTTTTTTTATAATCAATTCAAAATTCTTTCTACCATACGTTACTCTGATAAAACAATTTAGCTTTTGATTTTGGGTGCCATATTTGCACTAAATTAAAGGTTTTGTATTGGGCAGGTGTATACTCAGGAGCTTTGTTATATTGGGTGCCATATTTGCACTAAAGGTTTTGTATTTGAACAATGGTATGTTATATTTCCCATATTTGTATTACTCAGGAGCTTTGTTATACTTGCAATTTCCACCCAAAACTAAATGATTGACTCCTAGGTTAATGGCAATGGAACAATGGTATGAACACTGGCTTATGGTGGAGGCAAACTTGGAAATAAGCTCTCTAGGTTTGTTGTTTTGTTGGTCTGTAGTTACTTTATAACAATAAAACGAACTTAAATTTGGATTTGATGGGGTATGTTGGACTTTGATGCATTTAGATTTTTTTAATAAAAATATCCTATGTGAGTACACCTTATTCATTTGGCATTACATGTCTTTGAAACCATATACTAGATTACCATAGGCACACAAATGATTTATCGTCATTAACCCTCTTTGAAAGTATGCGAGTATTATTTCTCTAAACCTTCTGTACCCACTTGTGCTCAATTATTTTTCAATCTCTGTTTCAGCTCAGTCCATACTGCTGCCTGCCCAAGCAAATATATGTAGCAAGGAACACCCCAAAACGATTGTACTAGGACTAAAATCACGTCTAATTATGACTCTTTGCTGCTTGATCTCCTCTTCTATGGCGTCATTTCCTTCCATCTTACTTATGTATTCTCTTTGATACATTGATTTGTTTTTAATATATCAAGTTCATATGCATTCTCACACCTCTAGGAAGGTACAATAGTGCACTCTATTGTACATAAGGATTGGAGGTTGCAGCAAAGACAATGCTGAAAGACATTCTGTCCGATTCGGTGACCATCAAGTTCATAAGCATTCTCACACCTCTAGGGAGGTATAGTAGTCCAGTCTGCTTATATATAAGCACTGGAGGTTGCAGCGAAGACAACACTTGCTGTCCTCAATCTTCCAGGTACGACACATGTGCGAAGGCTAAAATTTTTTGGGGCAAGGACTCTATCTAGGATGCAACACAGAAGGTGTATATTTAGCCATCTTAGAGTTGATTTTTTTGACAATTGTGAATGACATTTGGGCAAGGACTCTATCTAGGATGCATCACAGAAGATGCATATTTAGCCATCATAGAGTTGATTTTTGTGACAATTGTGAATGATATTTTACTTTTAGCCTAACTTGATTGTGTAGAGGTGATTGTCATGGAAAAACTATTCAGGCAGTTCGATGTCAATGTTTATACAATCATTTGAGTCGGAAAAATCATTCTATGTATTGACAGTCACTTAGAATTATCTTGAAAAAACTATCCACATGGTATCCATGGCATGTATATAAGTTTATAATATTGCCGTCACGAGTCAATTAAATATTTATGTGATTTTATTTTATATTAGTAATCACTATTTCTCCCCGCAGATGCAGAATCAAAGCCTACAACCTGCCGCTCCCTTAAGGTTAGTATTTCATATATCAACTACTTCATTGCCTGAGTGTCCATGCATTTCGTTACAATGTTGATTCCATTATTGTGATGAATTGTAGCCTTTGCTGGAAAACTAAACAAAAACTAAACAAAAAATATTAATAATCAAGTATTGTTTAGTTTAACTTCAAAAGTTAAGGAATGCAAAATATGAATAACATTTTACAAGAAACACTCTGTGCTTAGATTTGTTAGGGGTTGTTTATTTTAATAATCAAGTATTGTTCTAATATGCCTATTTGTTATATAAATTATCATGTCTTTGTTATGCTTGCAGAATTGTTACCTACCCAGAAATTACTTGGAGCTTCTATGGTCTAGCCAACTCACACATTTTAGAAACTAGAGGTTGATTTGCTGTGTATGGATAGAGTATATGCTTACTCCCTCTCTTCCGAGCAAAATGTTTTGTTATAAATTTGTGGAATATAAACAACGCATAACTATGGGGCCACAATTTTAATGTTGTGTATGAAGAAATTTTTTTTCAAAATTTATAATTTTTTCTTATTTTATTTGTAACAAGCACTGGAATTAGATGAAAAATACATCAATCATCAGTATTATCCCCATCAATACTAACTTTTTATCAAGTAGAGTTACATATCGTGAAATTAGTAATGTTAATTACTATATTATTTATATTTTATATTGCTTATTATTATTATTATTATTATTATTATTATTATTATTATACGAGTAATATTCTTACCATGCATCGCACGGGTTAAAATTTAGTGATTGAGTAAAGCAAAATGGCTCTTTAAATGATCTGTGCTTCTTTTGATTGGAAAGTAGCAGTCAGTTAATGCAACTTTCGACGCTCATCGTGGGTCATCTGAAAACAGCCGCTTTATGTCTTAAACGTAGTGGTCAGGCTGCGTATATCCGACCCCCCCACCCCGCAATGGGCGGGATCCTTTGAGGCACTGGGGTAATGTTGTTGCTGTTATTACAAAATTATCTAAGTATGGGCATAATTTATCCAACCACAAGGAATGACATGTGGGTTGTTGGTCCTTAGTGTGTCCTAGGGGATTTTTAACAGTGTTCTCCATTGTGATGATAGAAACATTGAGTTTTGCAGATTACATTGTGGGTTACAGGAAATTGTGGCAGAAGGCTCCAAGTAGGCTTGGACAAACAAGCAAGTTTATGGTAAGCATGATCTACTCTAAAGTTGGACTACAGACTCTTTATTGAAATGAAGTGACTCTTAAATTGTGATTCAAATTTCAAAAGGTGTCATATTGAATGAATGGATACTAGATCATGTGGCTTTGCTCTTTACCTTCCTGGATCATCAAAAGTTCATGGGTCCCTTTAGGTTTTGTGATCACCAAATTGAAGCTACACAACTGATCTGTATTAAACACAGATGGGGTGAGGTTGAAGAAAGTCAGAAAGTGGCTGAAGTGTTTGTTGAGCATTTCATGGATATGCTCGGGATAATGTCCGGAGCGCCACTGGTTGGAAGTAACTTGAGGTCGAAATCATTATTAGTCCTCAACTGACAGTGGAAGGTCCTTATGTCCATTGCCAGTGGAGCTAAAAAAGTCGTTTTTAACAATGTTTTAGTTTCGGACACAATGGACTAGATAAAAAATGATAAATTAAACTTTCCTTGTTTTTCAACCTCTATGAAGTTTTTGGACAGTAAATGCATCAATGCATTTAGGTAACAGAAGCATCTTGACCCTTAGGAAAGACTTAGGGAAGGGGATCCCCTATCCCTTCCTCTATATTGTAGGTATGGAGTGCCTGACTAGGTTTTTGCTCATCTTTGCTCAGAAGAAAGGATTTAACTCTCATTCTCTGTGAAAAGCATTGAATATTACTAGCCTCACCTTTGAAGATGACCTAATTGTTGTTGGCTATGTTGCATGGGTTCATCAAATATTTGTTGATTCTCGTCCTCAAAATGTCCCCGTTTTGGGTACTTTGAGTCGCCCCAACATCCAAATTCTTTCGTGTAATTTTGAAAAATTGATGTTTCCACGTATTCATACCCGTCCTAGTATAAGTGCCCGTCCTCGTCTCAGGTGCAACTTAGGTTGTTGGAATTGAAGGGATTTTTTTTCTGGCTACCCATCACTGGTCCTTACAATGTGAAAATAGCTTATGACTCTATGATTGGGGATATATAGTAGTGAAGCCTTGGAGGGTTGATATGGGCTGGAAGAGGTTATGTCAACAAATATTGAAGTTTAACCTATGGTCCAATGGGAATATCTTAGTGAAATGGAGGTAATACATTTTTCGGTGAGATTCCCATGATATTAGAAATTCATGAAAAAACTATTTTAAGAACTTCCTCATAGTTTATATAATGAAAATTTAACAAATTATACTACAATAAATAATAATTTGATGGGCATTTTTAAGGATAGAATACCAATGGAATAAATATTAATTATAAAGTTTTCACGAAAGTAATTATTTTTTTTTGAAGATTGGTTTGTAAGAAAAACACTTAATTATAAATGATAATTTTAGTAATTTATTCATTCTATTTAGGATGTAATTTGATACATCAAATTTTTATAGCATTAGTTTATTTAGAATTGTATTTAATTTGTGACCAAAATAAAATAAAGACGCTATGATAATTTTGAATGAAAAAATACAGAGTATATATTAATCCAATTTCCTTAAAATGGATGGGGGAAACATGTGAGATAAATGAAGTGTAAGAGAGATGCACATTCCACGCGTCTCATGAGTTCTCTCATTTCATCATCATTTATCATTTATCATCATTTATATATATGCAACAAAAACTGAGCTGTCAATATTTTCCTTTAAAAAAAAGAAAATCTTACGTTTTGTTTAACTAATTCAGCATTTGACATTTAATTTGCAGTGGTTAGAACTTTGATGATGAACATGGCCGGCTGGGCCGGCTAAGATCCTTAGGTGCTCTTTGCCATACCCCTTTCTTTTTTAGTATCATAATAATTTTTTTGGAGTATCAAGTTTGTACCTCATTTTGCATATTAATTGTATCACAGACACACAGACAATAATGTTCTGTGCACAATTGTTTTTTTGTGCATTTGTGATACATTTAGTGTGCAAGTTGGAGTACAAATTTGGTGTACCCTTATATTTAAAAAAATTGAACCCAACTCGAGAGTCTTTCTAAATCAATAAGCACCCGGGAGATATTATTCAAGTGGTCAAAGACGGTGCGAAAAAACGTAACGGTTGGATTTGACTCACAGCAAAAGCAAGTGTGAGATGGTATATACTCCCTCTGTCCCCATTTATTTGTCCACATTTGACTTTTGGAACTGTTCATCTAAGCACTTTGACTCATCAAATTCTCTCAATGTGTAAGCCTAAATATAGTCATGTGTGATCTTGTTTGATTTGTCTTAACATATAGATTATTAATATATAATTTTTATGATTTTTTAATATACAAATTACAAGATAAAATGGATTAAAGAAGTGCATTAGATGGTATGTAAAAATGAAAGTGGACAAATACAGGGAGACGGAGGGAGTATATTTTATGCAAAAACATTTTTTGATGGACAAATACAAGGAGACGGAGGGAGTATTGTTCACTTGAAATCATAGCTTGACTTACATACTTTCAAGTATAAGTATACTGTCCTGATCATGCCCGAGGGGCCCTCGAAGATGGGATGTCATCTTTTTTTTTTGAGCAATGCTAGGAGTACACCAAAGGTGTACCACATTTGTTCCCCACCCCCTTCTCCACCATCCATTCATATTTAATTTTTATTTATTTAATTTTTTTAAAAAGTATTTGCCTATTTATGTGGTGGAGGAGGGGGTGGAGGACAAATGGGGTACACCTTGGTGTACCCCTATCATTTTCCTTTTTTTTTTCTCTTTTCAAATCAATAACCACGACGCCCAGCCTATTAATATAGCCTTTGACGCGGGAGGAGCTATCATACTTCTTTGCAACCAAAGAAAAAAAACCAGCTTCCATTAATGGAACCAAAAACAAGGGCAATGCACAACAAATGCAGATCAAGAACAGGGGCAGAGGCGGGCCCGTGTTCGTCGCTGATCAAGAGCTTCTCGGATTTGGAATACGAGGAGCTCAAAGGGTTCATGGACCTCGGGTTCGACTTCCCGGAAGACCCCGCAGATTCAAGACTGGTCGAGATCGTCCCGGGATTGCGGAAGCTCATGAAGAAGAAGAACTGCGGGTCAAGAAAGGAGAATTGCAGCAGGTCCAGGCCTTACCTGTCTGAAGCATGGGAGTCTATGAATAATGAGAAAGGCATATTGAAGAAGAAGAAGAATGAGTGGGGAATTCCATTTTTGAGAGATGAATCTGACATGAAAGCCAGTCTCAGACAGTGGGCTTTCACTGTTGCTTCAACATTCAGATGACCATTTTTGCTCTGTTATGCCCTCCAAAAGGGAAATTTCACCAATTGGCTATCCATAATGGTAATAAGGGTTTTGAGAAATTGTTTATGAACTATATATGTACCAAATTGCTGAAATTGTTTATGAACTATATAAACTTTAAATTCATTAGATTAGTTTTGAAATGCACCTTTGAGAAATGGAGTGTCATTTTTATTTTTATGTTTGTTATGTTCGAGTTTTGTTGTTTTATTTTTTATTGGTTTGGAATTAGTTGTAAACTTATACGGAGTAGTATTTAGGAAAAATTACCCAAAATAATTCCAATTTTACTCAGTCTTTCAAAAATAATCCCACTTTTCACTGTGATGCATAATAATCCCAACTTTACTGAAATTTGCCAGTTTTGGGTCGCCGTTAAGTTTCTAACGGAGAGATAACAGAAATGCCCGTTTTAGGCAACAAAACGAAAGTTGGAATTATTTTAGATGAATTTTTGTTTTTTAATTTTTTTGAAATTTTTATTTAAATATTTTGAATTACTTTCAACCTCCATTTCTTTTTCTTTTTTTAAAGATTATTCTTACCTTAGAAAAAAATAGATATAAAAAATATTGAAAATGAGAAAAATAACTAAAACCATACAAAATTAATCAAATAAATAATTTAATGAATAGAAATTAAACAGAAACTGGTAAGAAATAAAATAAATATATATGAAGTCGTGGGTTTAACAATTTACACACTACGGAGTCTTAATGTACTACTTATTTTTTAAAAGAACAAGCCATCCGGTAAAGTTGGAATTATTGTAGATAATTTTTTCTAAAAAATAAGAAGTGATATGTTAATACTTTGTATAATGCCTAAAATATTAAAACCCACCCGTATATTTTTATTTTACTTTATCCAATTTCAAGTTAGTTTCCATTGATTACCTTATTTATTTTATTATTTTTGTATCATTTTAGTTACATTTCTCATTTTTTCATTTTTTATATCTATTGTTTTTAATTTTTTAAACTAAGACTAATCTTTAAAAAAGGAAAAAGAAATGATGATGGAGGTAGAATGTAATTTAAAAAATTTAAATGAAAATTTCAAAAAAAAATTAAAAAACAAAAATTCATCAAAAATAATCCCAACTTTCATTTTGTTGCCTAAAACGGGCATTTCCGTTAACCCTCCGTTAGAAACTTAACGGCGACCCAAAACTGGCAAATTTCATTAAAGTTGGGATTATTATGCATCATAGTGAAATGTGGGATTATTTTTGAAAGATCAGGTAAAGTTGGAATTATTTTTGGTAATTTTTTCTAGTATTTAAAGGAGAGTGTTCTAATTTGGTTTCCGAGACGGCTTCATCGGTTAGAAAAGCTACATGTGCAATATTTGGATCTCATTAGAAAGTTAACAGCCATTTAACAGAATTTTTAGAAAATGCATTTTTTTGCAAATTAATGAAAAGTGAAATTATTTTAAGTAAATTTACTTTTTTCTTTTTTTAATTTTAAAATTTATGTTTTTAAGAATATAACAGCATATTCTTGTTGGAGATATGTCTCAATTTTTTTTAATATTACGATTTACAAATTTTGTTTTATGTTCTGGCCGAAATATAATATTGGATTATCTAGAAATAATTCAGAGTATCGCTTGTAAAAAAAATTGTAATACAAAAAATTGTAGTGAGTTATAAAATTAATTAGTGCCATTTTAGAAAAAATATTGTGTCATTTTCACAACTTTTGAATTATTATTTTGGAGAAAAAAGTTGTACTGAACTATCGAAAAAATCACAAGTTGGATAGTTCCATTTTAGAAAAAATAATACGGGTAATAAAAGATTATCAACAAAAATTTCGGAGTGTTGTTCATTAAAGAATTGCAAAACAACAAAAATTGTAGTGAGTTATAAAATTAAAAGTTCCATTTCAGAGAAAAGTTTATTGTGTTCTTTTATTAAAAAAATATATAGAATTATCGAAAAATATTCACAAGTTTTGTAGTACTATTTTTTAGAATAAAATAATAGTATAGAATCAAAAAACAATTCGATGTGTTGTTCAAGAAAAATAATTACTCCCGGAGTACAACTTACAAAAAATATACTCCGTAGTAAGTTATGAAGCAAATAAATTAACTTTATTGTGTAGAATAATTTATTGTTCCATTAGTACCAAGTTATCGATTGTTAAAAAAAATAATTAGTTTTACTCTAAAAAATAGTTAAATTTGGTGGAGTATTATTTATAAAAACATTTTTAAAAAAATACATTTAAATTTAATGTTAGAATTTTTCAAACATTCAGTTAAATGGCCATTAATTTTTCAATGACAATCCAAAACTTGCATATGAAAAGTGAAATTATTTTTTTAGAGAGTGAAAAAGTAGAATTTTTTGATACTCCGGATAATTTTTCTTTAAAAATATTGATGAAAGAAGGGAAAGGAACCGGCCCGACCCATTTTTTCCGCATTTCGCTCGGTCCTGGTCCAAATTACAAACCAAATAATGAAACACCCCATAGTCCTGGCGGAGCCGCGGAGGCTGAGGTAAACAGACCTCCTAAAGCTCGACTATAATGGCGGAAACAAGACGGCTGAGAGGCCATAAAGCGGCTGCCACGTGCTGTATTGCTTCCCGGAGCCGCCCTGGCCTTATTGCTACTGCGGCCGAGGTAACCATTTTTTTGTCTCCGTCAGTAATTTTTCCTTTCCCGAAATTTGGGCAATTTATCCTTACTCGCTCCTTAGAGGACTCGAATTTGCTATTCTCGTTTTCTGAATTTCTAATCCTTGAATAACTCTTTCAATTGACCACAATTCAAACATAGGATGGCAATGTTTGCTGGTTTGACATGCGGTGCAAAGATGCGATTTTTACTATGGATGTTGCCAATCATAATCCCATTTCATCCATCTGTTTCAAGCCAGGTTCCTTGCATTCTTCCTCTTAGGTTTCAATTTTTATCTCTGTTCTTGCATTGTTCCTTCCCCATTTTTTTCTGTTTTTTTCCTGTGTTCTTCTTGGTTAGTACGGAGTATTTATTACTCCTTAATATGGTTGCATATTTTGAAATCTTGAGTACATATCAGTTATCACCATCTGGAGCCTACTTTTGTGTGGGGTTTATAACCGGGTTTGTTTGGTTTGGTATTATGAATGTTGTTAGTTGTTACAATACGATAACGAAATATTGTATCCCATTTCTTGCTTATAGTTAAATTTTGTAGGTAAAGACATTTTATGGGCAATAATGACCCGAATGTAGATATGAGATCAGCAAATGGCATTCAGCAATTATAAGAAAAAGAAAACTAGTGATAGTTTCAGGACAGTGTGCGATTTGTAGACAACATTTTTCAATTTCTTGATGCATTACGAATTTCCTATTTCATTGTTCATTTATCCTCCTTGGCTCTCACTTTGTGCAGGCAATGAAGATATAATTTATGCATCGTCAGGAAATGAAGTCAAGTGTTTCGAAGTGAATATGGTATTTTCGGATTTTCCCATTAGTTATAGTCTTATAAGAATAGCACAATGTTTGATTCTACTTTACTATTTATAGAAATTAGTTTATAGAGGTTATCTTGTTTTAATTTTTTGATTTTGTTTCTCTAGATCAGTCAATTTAGAACTTGTGTATTGATTTTATCAATTTTATGTCGATGGATTGATTGGTTAGCTTTTGCGTTGAATGCAGTACATTGCAATCTATCCTCTATAGAATATTTCTTTTCTTATATTTTTACTGTTCTTTGTATCGTATACTTTGATCTTTGAACGTTGAAGAGAGTTCTGTGATTATTATTTTGTGCTTGATTGAGAATATCTCTAGGGTAATTCATCAAAACAGCTGGAGAGCTACAATTACAACAAGGATGAAATAAATCAGGTTGCTGCCATTTCATTTTTGTTATACATAGTAGTAGTTAGTGCCTTCTCTGGGAAATCTAATTTGTCAAATGGGTTATAATGCATGTGCAATTTAAGAAGTACTCCAAGTAAAATTTTGTGAAATATTATTTGAACGAAATGGTCATATCCCAGAATATAGAAATTCTCTGAAGTATAGAAAAATATCAGAGATGTTTAATTAATAAAATTGAAAAGGTAAACCAAAACTGTAAGGATCAATTGTAGGCAAACATGCATTTTTTTCCGACTGCAATGACCTGACCACAATGCCCTTGCTATAAATGTGTGGAAATAGAGAAGTGAACACTGTCGTAGGCTATCCAGAAATTGTGGCACCTATTTGAATTTCCATATGCACAATGCAAGTTTTTTTTTTGAGGAATATGCATGCTCTGTATTTAATACAGAGTATGATTTTACAAGTATCCTTTCATTAGTTTGAGTTGTTTTCGGAAGCAGATTGATTGCACTGTAAATTCATCATTCCTTGCTGCTGCAGATGATAGTGGGGATGTTAAGGTATGCTATCCAACTGTGGAATTTCCAAACTCTCATATGATAGTTTGATAGCATGCTTACCTTGTAATAATTTATTTATAATGGAACATAGCTTCATGAAAATGCAATTTTAAATCTTTACATACTAGTATAGTACACATGTCTATCAAATGAAGTGTCAGGTGATGTAGTACGACTCATTGGTTCAGTAGATGTAGAACCTAACATATTGCTCTTTTCTTGTTGATAAGTCAAAACAGTTACACTAATAATATAGTCAAGAGAGTGCCAAAGATTTAGAACCCTTAGGTCAAGTTAAAAGGCCATTAGTTTGATCATGTTCCTACCCTTAATTTTAAAGGTCCTAGTTGATGCTTCTGTGAGTTCTTGATGCATATTGTCATGGTTGCTTCATTGCAGATAGTTGATATCCGTCAGCAATGCCTTTATAAAACTCTAAGATCTGGTCATACAAGTGTATCCTTTGGCTACTTTCAAGTGTGTCTAAGCTATAATTGTTAAGTGCATTAGTATCGTGATAACCTCTTTCCTTTATGACTGATATTTATTCATTCCTTTTCTATATGACTATATGAGCTTATCATCTTTGATATCCTTCACTATCTATTTAGATTTGTAGCAGTGTTCAATTTGTTCCTTGGAGACCTTGGCAAGGTACCTTTGTAATAAATATTTCCAAGTATCCAGTAATGCTTAAAATGAAAAAAATAAAATAATAGCTATTTAATTAAGAGAAATAAGAATAACAACAACTCAGTATAATCCTAAGTCCCAACTCCAACTGCATTGGGATTTGGGGGGTTAGGGATGTACACAGTCTTAGCCCTTTAAAAATAGAGAGGCCGTTTCAGTTAAACCTTAGACACATTGGTTCTCTTTGGACAAAAATTAATCTTCTCTTCTTTAAACAAAACAATTACCATAATAAATTTATACAACAACAAACCCAATATAATCCCAACTCTCTTGAGGCCTAGTACCGCATATGGAACCTTGCCCGTGTAAAAACAATAGGCTGTTTCCATTAGATCCTTGACACATTACCACATTTACTGCCCAAAACTCCATAAGAAAAGTAAGAAGAAAGGGAAGTGTAATATGTCACTTTGATTTAGCCAATTATTTACCCAAAGCTAAAATTTTGTCAAAATTATTTACCCAAAGCTAAAATTTTGTCAAAATGATACTTTTAACTCCATTGGCAATGGACATGCAATAGATTAATACAACAACAACAATTACAACAACCCTAGTATAGTTCCAACTTCCTTGGGATCTAAGAGGGTCAAGATGTACACAAGCTTTCCCTTCATAAACAGAAATGTTGTTTCTGTTTGACCCTTGATGAATTAATTCATTTTACTATGAAAAACTTCACAGAAAGTAAGAAGGAAAGAAAGTTTAAGTTTCCGTTTTTATTTAGTCCATTATTTACCTTGAGCTAAAACATTGTAAAAAATGACTCTTTTTGCTCCACTTGCAATGGATGAGAAACATGATAGATTAATGATGATAATAATAAATTTTAAAAGTATTGTCTTCTTTATGTTGAGCACCTGACCCCTTGACTCCTTGAGATTTGAGATGGTAAATGAAGTCAAGTATTACCTCAAACTGCATAGATGTCTACCCTGGCCATCTTATTATTTTGACATTGCCTTTTCCATTTTCAGTTAAAAGCTGCAGTAGTTTGAAACTGGCCTGAAATATCTTAATTAAACGCTCATTTTGCATCTAGTTTTAATGATTTGGTGTTTCATCCTTGCACAGTGCAGTCGTAACTGGTGGCCTTGATTCAAAGCTTGTGGTATGGGACTATTCAAAGGGACGACCTCAGAAGATTGTGGACTTTGGTACAAGATCTTCCATTATTCACTTATAGTCTTCTTATTTGTTTACTAGTTATATTATTGGATACTGTCTCGGTCGTGGGAATGTAAATATGTAATGTTTCCTTCCTCTGTCCCATAAAAACAACAACAACAACAACAACCCAGGTGAATCCCACAACAGTAGGGTCTGGGGAGGGTGTGTGTACGCAGCTTGCCCCTACTCGGAAGTAGGGGGCTGTTTCCAAGAGACCCCCGGCTCCACCTGCACAAAAATATGGAAGGGAACACAGTATAACACAGATAAAGCACCAAGTACAAGCAACAAGTACAAGCAATAGCAGAAGATTCCAAACGAATACAACACACTACAAAACAACCTCTACAACACCAAGCTCCTATCCAGCTACTCTAATTCTAGTTTTCCAAAGGTTCCTATCTAGGGCCATATCCTAAGTCAGGTCGAGAAGTCTTAAATCCTGCCTAATCACCTCCTTCCAATTCTTCCTAGGTCTACCCCTTCCCCTACTTCCCCCGATAACTGTAATCCTCTCGCATCTCCGTACAGGGGCGTCAGGATCCCGCCGTCTCACATGGCCAAACCATCTCAACCTCGCTTCCCGCAACTTATCTTCCACAGGTGTCATGCCTACCTGACGTCGGATAACTTCGTTTGAAACCCTATCCAACCTTGTCTTCCCACACATCCATCGTAACATCCGCATCTCCGCCGCATGCAGACGACGCACATGAGTCTTCTTAACCGCCCAACACTCTGCCCCATATAACATAGCAGGTCTGACTACGGATCGATAGAACTTACCTTTCATTCTAGGCGAAATTTTCAGATCACACAACACCCCTGAAGCTAACCGCCATTTGGCCCAAGCCACTCCAACACGATGTCCAACATCTGCATCTAACTCCCCATCAGCCTGGATTACCGAGCCAAGATATCGAAACCTGTCTACCTTAGGTACTAGGTGCGAGTCAATCCTGACTTCCACATCTGATTCTATATCCCGGCCGCTGAAACGACATTCCTCTCTGTCCCATAAAAAGAGTCTAATTTTGTCATAGTACAACTTCTAAATTTTTAGCAAGGAACAACCATTATAAAACATAAAACTAGCTTGTTTTCTTGAAATGTGTTATGACTCTTTTAATGGGACGCTCCGAGTACTTAATATTGGATTTTGTATATTACTGGTTTATATTCTAAAAAAACACTAGGCCTAAAGGGATATCAGAATATGCGGGAGTCAATTTGTGGAAAAATGAAAAGTGGATAAGGGAGGCCCATAACCTTGGTAGTCGGTGGCAGTTTTTAGATCCAACAACAACAAACCCAGTCAGATTCACAAAAAGTAGGGTCTTGGGGAGGGTGTATGTATGGAGACCATAATCCAATCTTAGATCCATCACTAACATTTACAATGATGCAGCAGAAATACTTAATATGAAGTTTTTTGTAATAATCTTAATTAATCCTATGCATGGTATGGCTGATTGAACACTTATAATTGTGCCATAGGCATGCCCGATGCAAGTAATGAAGAGAAAACGGTCCAGTGTTTGAATCCTGCGTTTGCCCATGCGCTGGCACTTCCTGAAGTTGATATGGTGGATAAAGTAGGGAAGATTTGTTTGGCGGCTAGGGGTGATGGCGTTGTTGATATTTTGAATATTGATTCTGATCTCAACTCTTCTTCTAAATCAAAACGCTCTTCTAATAAACCCAAGGACACTTCCCAAGGGCAAAACTGGAGACTGGATCACACTCTGGGAGGGCACACTGCTGCAGTTTCCTGTGTGTTAGTTTTCTTTGTCCATTCAACACTTTCCTTCCTAACACGCCCTTAGGTCACGTCACAACTTGGCTTTGATAATCTCATTTTTGTATCAGGGCATTTTCCGTATTTGGAGGAGAGAAGGGAAAGTTCATAATTTCTGGTGGGAACGACAAGCAAGTGAGGGTATGGGATTGGACAAAACTTTTTACTGGTGATGGAACAAACACCAGCAGCAACGATCTTTTGAATCTCCAATTAAATTTAAGAAGAAAAGTGAGTTTTTTACCATTTCTTTCTTTCTTTCTTGATACATATGCATGTATGCTTGTGGTTATCGACTCGTACAAATAAATTGTTCACAGGTGAATTGGCTCTGCACTGCACCTACTGACTCTGATAATCTGGTTGTGTGTGACACTTCCAAAGTGGTTAAGGTTTATACCATTGCCTGAATGCATGCATTTCGAATTGTGTTATTCCAAATACAAATATGGGCCCCACCAAACTGTGCGAATACTAGAAAGGCAAGGATGGAAGGCTGCAATTGTTGTGGTAAGCCCATTCATTCCCCCCATTGTTATGCTCAGGGTTGATTGGATTGGATGCAAATTAGTTATAAGTGGCAAATTTAGGGTTTTTCTTTGAAATTAGATGAAAATTTAGGGTTATTCTTTGAAATTGGGGTTGTATTAACGCAGATTGAGGTTTTTGTTGAGTGCAATTGTATTGGGGTTTATAGGTTTTAGATTACGTGTAGTGTCCAGATATGAAAATGCATTGCGAAACCCTAAATTTTCTCTTTTTTGAAATTGCGGGGCAGAACACTCTATATGGCGCGCGCTTTGTCTTTTTACGGGAAAAAGTGCCTTGTTGCGGTCTAGCTTATGCAATTTCAATTGCTCACATACCGTGTAGTTATGTTCGTTGACTCATTCGCTTGGAACCGTTTGGTACAAACTATGATTGAATTGTGTGTAAACTTGACTCAATTACGTGTTGGTGGCTCTGAGGTTCGTTGTTGAATCAAAAGAGGGTCGAACACATGAATTAGGCTTTAAATTTATGTTGGCGATGTTCCTTGACACAAAAGAATTGTGTTTGATGTTGTATTACTATTAGTGTTATGTTTTGGAAATGAAAGGAACATGGATCGCCACACGTCTGTTTCACACTATGTTGTACAATGCCAGGTGATCGGCGCACGTTAATTATTCGTCCTAAAAAAGAATATTTATTTCGTTTTCGGGACGTTCCAAAAGAAGCCTTCATTTTCCTTTCTTGGAAAACTTTGAGTGATTCGTAATTTTTCCTTTAGCTTTTGCATCACTTTCAACCACACACACATTGTTACTATTCTTAAACTTTGTGCTAAATTAAACCGAGACTTTTTTTTAACGGAGAGAGTATACACATGCACACAATCCTTCCGTTTGAAAAAATAGTTTTGCCTTTATTCGTGCGTCCTACAAAATTTTTCTACATCAGGTAAAAAATGAAAGTGAAACTATTCTTTCTAAAAAGAGAATATATCTGAGGGAACATTGGAACTGATTGAGATGTATATATAAATGTACCATACCCACCAAACATAATTAATAAACATTCCTTAAAGTTACGGTAAGCTAATGGAGTATTAACAAAACAAAACAAAAAAAACATCAGAAGAAAATGACATTTCTTCCTCTCCGATAAAAGCACCGCCACCAACCACCACCACCACCACGTACCCCGCCCTCCGCCACCCATTGCTCTCTTTATTTATATTCATCCAACTAGAACCCAAGCTTTGAGAGCAGGGTTGTCACAGTCTGGTTTTAGAAGATGATGATGGCCCAGTCCGACGTCGTTTCAACATCGTCCTCTGTTTGTAATGGTATAGTAAATCTGTCCCAAAATATTCATCTCATTTGAATTTTTTTTTAAGTTAATGGAAATGTATGGAATTCGTTCATCGATTAAATAAAAAATATGTTATAAAATACGATATTTCAAACCCACATTTAAAATAAATTACTTCAATTCGTAGTTTTTTTTAGCACAATTGACTCTATTAGAGTTGTAGTATAGGCGCAGTGAGTTAATGCCTCCATGAGAAATAAAATAATAAATCTATTGATGCTAAATTTATTTCATGATTCAATAGTGATCAATACAAAAAAATTCTTAATTTAAGGTCAATAATTATTGGGGAGGGTTGAATAACTCTCATGCCATAACTACTGGGTAATTAACATTACATTTTAGGTGATGATGGAGTTGCAGAAAACTCTGCAATAATGGCTGATGGAGAAAGAGCGGAATCAGACCACCATATAACTACAATAATGGCTGCTCATCATCATCACCCCAATACCACTGATGAGGTATAGTCATATATATATATATATATATATATATATATATATATATATATATATATATATATATATATATATATATATATATATATATATATATATATATATATATATATATATATATATATATATATATATATAGAGAGAGAGAGAGAGAGAGAGAGAGAGAGAG